CTCTTCCATTAAGTATTGTTTGGAAATCTATACTGATTACACAGATTCAGAACTGTACACCATTCAGTCAGCGAGAATCAGATCATCAGCTAGAGGTGCTTTTTTTGTTCAGGGTTCACATCACTACAATGCATCTGATTCAGGTTATGGAAGACGTCTTCATCAGATGTATTCCTATTGGCCTCAAATCTCAGCTACTTTATCTGAACAGAGTTTTATTTATTATTAAGTCACAAGTTCAGGTGAGTTAAAGTTATCAAAGGTCAGTCTTACCTAGAAAGAGGGTTCAGTTTGCTATTTAAACCAGAGGCCAATGAAACCAACGACTTTGTTTTGGAAACCTGAAAATGTATATGTAAGACTGCAGTTAAAAGAAGTGGCATTTTAAGGCAAAATGATAGCTATTTCCAGGGAACAATACTGTAAGAATTCCCTGTTAAGTCCCATAGTGCTGCCTTTTATAGTTCTACATATGCATAAAATGGCAAATATGCATTCCAAAACAAGAGTTTCATAATGCCACAACTATTTGTTCATACTGAAGTTCTGTACAAAGAGCCACCTTTCTAAATATACACCCTTCCAACTTGTAAGCCCTCTTATAATTACTGCCTGTAACTCTGCATATAGTCTTTTTGTTGTCATCTTACACTTCAGTGTCTGGTTGAGGCACTGCATTGCACAGATGGACTGAAGTGGTAAAATTAATATACCTGTGCTATTTGGTTTAGAGGTCAAGGTGGATAAGACTGCACAAGTCATTCAAATACAGAAAAGCACGTATTAAAACATGAAGTTGAGGAATTTTTTAAAAAAGTTTCAACAAAAAATGATTCCTCAAACCACTGAGACATACTGGCAAGTCAAGACAGAATGACTATGCCAGTATTTGCAAGTCTGTGTCAATGAGTTACCAGAAGTGCAGATACCACAGTTCATTATGAAATTAATTTACTACACAGCTTAGCCTTGCTTAACTTAAAATAAGTTGAATTTAAAACTGATTTTTCAAACAAACAGCAGGCCACTGGCCTGCCCTGTCACAGATCTAGCACGTCAGAACTGATTAAACCCTAATATTGATTGTTCACAATAAACTTACTTTTTTAGATATTTTCTTTGCAGAAATATGCTTGGCATCTTCATATTCAACAATTGTAGTTACCTTAACTAGAAATATATTAGAAAAACAAGGAAAATAAAAGTCTCATGAAGAGCACAAAACACCACTTCAAACTAAGTTGTTTGGAGCCCATTTACCCACTGACAGCTACGTATCAGTTCTGCTATCTGATGGTCATTCACCTGGGACAGAATTCAAAGCAAACTATCTGTGACACATGAGACAGTTAAAAGACACCAGATAATCCCTAGATTTCAGTGGTAGTGTCCTTCTTACTGTGTACTTTGGAGTACACAGAGAAATGGTATTTTCCTTACAAACGTCAATGGACAGGAGGTCAGAGGGGAACCTATGAGAAAATAGGGGTGACTTTCCTAGCTCTTCTGCCATATGGTAAAGCACTAACAAGTCACTTAAATCTGTCTCTTCTCGCCATTTTTAGTGATAAATCCAGAGGGCAGGAACTCTTATGTTTTAAGCCTCAACAGTAGCATTGCTCATCACCACACTGAATGCTGGGGGGACTTGTATGTTATGCTTGTAGTTACACGCTTTTTCATCTTGGATCCTTGAGGCTTAACATTCACTTTACAAGTGGTCAGTTCAAACCAATTAAAAAAGTAAATTTAAGAACCAAGCTATATATTAATGGATTGACTTGCCTTTTTTGCTGTTGGTCCTCAACTGTTTTGGATTTGGTACGTCTTCTAGAGAGCAGTCAGTCTAAAAAAAAGTGTTTATCTGACAAGGGAAAGTCAACGGCTTTTGCCCTGTAAATGCGTATTATCCTACAAAAGGATAGTGAACGCAAAAGGCAGTGAACAAAAAGGGCATAAAAGAAAGTGACAGAAGTGGGATTGGCTAAACACTAGTTTATTTTTTCAGAAATGTCTGGCCACCTGCAGATGACCCTAAAGCTTTAGGCAATGTTCGTAACTGCACCATGGCTCACTGTCTAGCCTTTCCATATCATCTTCAATTTAAACAGACAGACAAAATCATTTGTCTCAAGTGTTTACAGCAGGGAGAGAAGCCTTCTGTTCTGTAAACTGTGATAAAATTTGAAAACACACACTTACCACTGCAGCAGCAAGAGCCATTTCCTCCCCTCCTCGCAAATCTGTAACTCAAGAAAGGGTAACTTCTTCATATACTATTACTTGCATAATTATTACCTGCAGGTTCTTATCTTATGGGCTATGAAGCTGAACAAGTAATTCAAGATTACAGTTGCCTAAATAGTTAACCTAAGCTAGCAGATATGTTGCATTTGAATGACTTTCAAGTCTTGGAGGATAGTCACTCCTACAAAACAATGAACATCTTAGGCCATTTCAGTATGTTGAATCTTTGAAAGTATACTAAGCAGAGACACCAAGTATATAGTCTGAATTCAAAGAAAAACCCCCATACACTGCGCTGCTGAAAGCTAATGCTTTTAAGCAGAAGTTTTGGAGAAATATGTTGAAATAAATCCTCCGCAGAGGCTTACAGTAAGCTCAAGTACTTCAAGAGTCTTAGGTTTGATCTTTGTGCAGCCCCTGCAATTTCCAGCTGCAAGGTAGGTTCCAGAAACAACAGAATATACAGCAGACAGAGTGTACACCACAGCTTAAACTGCTGCAGAAATGTGAGGTTAAAATTAAACTTGTTCACTCATCATCACAGGTAAACAACTAGATGAGAAGGGCTCAGCAGTAAAAGACTTCAAATTAACAGAAAGACAAAATAATCTCTGTGGCTAGGATGAACAGATTCAGATGGAAAGAAGTGCTTAAGTTTTTATGCACAGCAAATGCTAGACTTGTAATTATTCCCTGTCTCTTCAGGCTTTAAACAAGATGACTTAGGAGCACACATAAAAGAAGGTTCCAGACTCTATACACTGTTACCTACTAATTCCATACCCTGTGTTACTGAAGTGAGTTTACTTGAACAAGAGTGCTTACTGGGCATCGGCAGCGTAACGCCACCGCCGATTAGCATAAAACATAGCACAGACAAAGCAAACTTCTTCATACAAGTCGCCAGGTTGATGGGTTTTCTCACATTCGTCAGGGGTACATGGTGCTGTAATGATGTCTGCACTCTCTCAAATGTAGGACCACGCACACTTACTAAGCAAGTCTTTTCTCTTCATTTTCCTGATCGCAACAGGCATCTTCAGCAGCTCCACCGTAAAGGCCTTCTCAGCTGTTTGCAAAAGCGAATCGAGCTCTTTCTTCATTTCCTGGATATTTTCCTCGGCTTTAAAACAAAAGAGGCTTTTACTGCCATACGTGTTACACAATTCCAAGTATAAGCACTGGTAGACTGAATGAAAAAATAAAGTTAAAACAGGGTTTTATCCAGGGTCGCCTGACTTGGGAGGCAGAGCGCCCGAAATCCGCCATCAGGCAGCGCTTAGGCTGAGGAGAAACGCGGTGCAGCGAGCTGCAAGGAGGGGCCGGGGGCTCCCGCAACCCGCGCGGGCGCTGCAGC